GATCTGCTGTTTTTACGCGTCCACATTCTGGCGAAAACTTTGCAATGATCAGACCGACAACAATCACAGCTCTTGAAGCTGCTGTTCAGGTATACATGAAAATAACTGCCCGCTTAAACTTGCTAAAGGTAAACTACAGGCTGTAAGATCGTGGTGGAGAATAATATTCATTAATGGTATGAATAGAAGGGTTGTGTACACGGAGTTCTTGGAACGTAAACCAATGTCGCCAAGCAATATGACTCAGGTGCGTGAACAGAGAGTTTGAAAATTGCAACAGGAAAGTTTTTAATATTGCATGCAAAAAGAGGATTTAATAACTGAAGAGTTGCAATACTGAGATGCAATCAAATGTTTTACATTAGGATTTCTGGCAATTTGTGTCTTAAGATTTTCCTGTATATAATTCCAAATCATACTTATGCTCAGACACTTAACTGCAAATTCACGTATGCGTATCGATATAGATAGTCCCTCATGCAATAGCTTTTTTCGACCAGTTTAGGGCTTCGTTGGAAAAGTTTCTGGTTCCTAGTATGAGCGCTTGATGATGAAGTTTTTCTTGAACGAATCATACTATTCGTATATCTTCATGATTTGTAACTAAAGCTAGCAGCATCAAGAAAATTTTTTTACAATAAATTAGTGATGTGAAAGAAAAAATGGAAATGCTTGGACACAGGCTTTTACCTCTTAATTTATTATACAACACAATTGTCAGAATTGATGTAATTTTATTAGGTTATATTACAGCGCAAGCTTTATGGCATACCTCTAGAAGTATAACGCAAATTTTATGACATTACACCACTGAGGTTATTAACAAGATGCAATTGTTGCAGATGGCTTGGGCTGGTTCGTATAGGCTCGGTTGCGGTATGAGAAACTGCGGTGATTTCAGAGCCTTCGTTTGCCGCTATGGTCCTCGGTATGAGTGTTATTTTTTCTTTCTAACAGTTTGCTCTGCTAAGTGTTTAAGGTCTTTTCGCGTTGCTTACCATAAAAGTTTATAGCAAGTGGTTATCAGCTTTCGTTTCCCTGGGGAGCCTCAGTGAAATAATTTGATTTATAAAAATTTTCAGTGGTAACATCTACCAGGAACAAATTTACGTCCCAGGTCCAGTATGCGGTAGTTGCTTCGCCGGGAACTGCATAGACGGACTTTGTCCTACACCTACGATGTGATGCTTCAAAGAAGAAGCTTACCTTTTGCTCGGGGATGGGTATTCTTTTTTTAAAAATTAGATGAGTACCACTTTTTTCAAATAAATTTTCAAGTATTCGTTCTTATTTTTTATTGTACTTAGCCACAAATGTCCCCTAAAGGAGGCTTCAGACAACATACATAATTATAGATGTCATCACTCCTTAAATATACACTTTCTAAAATGCCCTCTAAATTACGAAAAGTTTACGATAAATTCCTCCATGAAGGGATCAGCGTGTCGTCTTGTAATTGTAGTCGCAGGAATGGAAAGCTTTATTTCAAATCGATTCA